ATTATGCAAATGAGGAGGGGCTGTGTCTCAAGGGGTCATCTTCTCTGCTATTGGTGGACCAGTCAGACAGGAGAGCTCCTACTCTGCCTGCAGACATCAACGATCTTGCCCCTCACACAGTCAGATGGCTTCCTTCAGTGCGCTGAGGTGTTTAACAACTCTGAAGACAATACTACCAGCAATGTCTTCCTTCTCTTTTCACGTAGACGCCGACAGACAGTGCTTTCAGTTTGCTGCATGCATGGACACAGAACTGCGGTATAGGGAGAAGCACACGGTCAGCTGGCTGCAGCTAAATCTGGAGTGCACTCGTATTCAATTCTGTATGGTAAATTCAGTTTTAACGGAGCAGAGCGAGCTGACAGGCAGAGTTAGAGACTTTTTCTGTCCGTTTCTCTCTTTACAAAGACGCATGTTGCAGTCAGAGTCTTCTCTGATGAGCGATGCGAGCACCACATACAACACAATTTATCAAATTACACAACGGATATACAGTATGAAAATAAGATTGATTGGATTATACTCACAGGAAGTATAAAACCTGTTACATGCGTAACACAGTAATGTCAGGGAAATTACTTTACTTAGATTTAAGTACTGCAGTTGTACATTTGAAATACCTTCCTACCTTTCTGATAGGAAGCCTTCTTGAGGTGGTATAAAACATTTCTTCTTATATTCTGATTTGAGTTGTGGACAACTATGACCACATGAATTAAAAAAAAACATTTCACTGCCCAAGTCAGCTATAACACAAGTCTTGTCATCAGACTACATGCTGTACAGTATTTGTGGACAGATTTTGTCCCAGGATTTATTATGCATTTCTTCTTCTTCGTTGCATGATTTAGAATAATAAGGTGAGAAATGGGTCTATTCTGAGTTCATCCTGCACTGCAGCAGCTAATAAAGTCCATTTAATCCCAAAAACGCTTTTCTTTTAGGCAGGCTGGAGCAGAAAACAACTCACCTTTCTCAAGTTGTACAGTAATGTCACATGTGTATGAAGGTGGATCAAACAGCTAATCTTAAATGTCAAAGTAGAGAGGAGCCTAGTAGGCCTATTTATTTTCATTCATTACACAATATGAATAAGCTATGCAGACAGTTGTAAAGAAAGAACATCTTTTTCTTCTGTTCTCTACTTGTTATAGTTACACAGTATTAGGGGTGTGGGCTGTATTAAAAGTATCCACTGTTCTCCCATGCTCTAACACACAGTAACGATGAAATGTGTGCTGTTCTCACATTCTTCCTCTGTATGTACACATAAACAACAAGGCAGGGAAATATAAAAGGAATTTATTTTATTGTTTGGGTACATTATTGTTCAGTGTACATGTCACATCTGAAACAAACTTTACGTGCTTGATAACTCTCCCACCCGCAGACATCTACACGTCAATACCGATTTATATTCATAGCGGCAAGTGCTATGTAGCTCCACATAGGGGACACAGGAAGTGACATATACACCTTCATGCGGCGTCGGAACCGCGTAGGAAATTCACAGCCGCACCGGCAGAGCTCCAGAATATGCAACTCGGCCGGCTCACGCGCGGACGCGCTTACAAGTGCGAGGGCCCGCCCAACGCTGCTTGCAGCTTTAATTTTTTTTTTTTTTTTTTTTTTTTCTGCAAAGTAGGCCCAAATGACATGGCCTAAACATACTCGAAAACTCACCAAAATTTGCAAACATGTCAGAACCGGTGAAAAATTTCGTATTCTACAAGTTTCGCACATGGGCGTGGCAAAATGACTCGCTAGCGCCACCTAGAAAATTGGAAATGATTAGCCCCTCGTTCACGTTCAACCTACATGTACGAAATTTTCTGGGGACATGTATCGTATCAAGACGCACAAAAAAGCCTCAAGAACCCATAGCCTAAAGTCAACAGGAAGTCGGCCATTTTGAATTTTACGGCCATTTTTGGATGATTTACACACTTCGTACTTTAACGAACTCCTCCTAGGGATTTAGTCGGATCGACGTCAAATTTCTGCTGTGCCTTCTAAAGGCATTGACGATGAAAAGTTGTGCTATTTGCGCGTTTTCGTCAATGGGCGTGTCCGTGGCGTCGATGATTCGCAATGAAACAGGAAGTTGTTGTAACTTCAGTGTACATGCTCACATCCGGACCAAACTGTACATGTAGGATGAGAGTCCCGCCCTGAACACATGTACATGCCGACATTCACCCACAGTCATAGCGCCACCTGCTGGCAACAGAAAGTGACCTTTAACGAAGCAGCCCCCGCCGCACGTTTCACCTACGTGCACGAATTTTCTGTGGTACGTGTATCTTGTCCAGACGCACAAAAAAGTCTCTTGGAGCCATAGCCTAAACCCAACAGGAAGTCAGCCATTTTGAATTTTACGTCAAATTTTGGATGATTTACACACTTCGTACTTTAACGAACTCCTCCTAGGGATTTAGTCCGACCGACCTCAAATTTCTGCTGTGCCTTCTAAAGGCATTGAAGATGAAAAGTTGTGCTATTTGCAAGTTTTCGTCAATGGGCGTGTCCGTGGCGTGGCGTCAAAGATCAGCTCTTCGCCATGACACGGAAGTTGTCGTAACTTCAGTGTACATGCTCACATCTGGACCAAACTGTACATGTAGGATGAGAGTCCCGCCCTGAACACATGTACATGCTGACATTCACCCACAGTCATAGCGCCACCTGCTGGCAACAGGAAGTGACTTTTAACGAAGCAGCCCCCGCCGCACGTTTTACCTACGTGCACGAATTTTCTGTGGTACGTGTATCTTGTCCAGACGCACAAAAAAGTCTCTTGGAGCCATAGCCTAAACCCAACAGGAAGTCGGCCATTTTGAATTTTACGTCAAATTTTGGATGATTTACACACTTCGTACTTTAACGAACTCCTCCTAGGGATTTAGTCCGACCGACCTCAAATTTGTGCTGTGCCTTCTAAAGGCATTGAAGATGAAAAGTTGTGCTATTTGCAAGTTTTCGTCAATGGGCGTGTCCGTGGCGTGGCGTCAAAGATCAACTCTTCGCCATGACACGGAAGTTGTCGTAACTTCAGTGTACATGCTCACATCTGGACCAAACTGTACATGTAGGATGAGAGTCCCGCCCTGAACACATGTACATGCTGACATTCACAGACAGTCATAGCGCCACCTGCTGGCAACAGGAAGTGACTTTTAACGAAGCAGCCCCCGCCGCACGTTTTACCTACGTGCACGAATTTTCTGTGGTACGTGTATCTTGTCCAGACGCACAAAAAAGCCTCTTGGAGCGATGCCCTAAAATCAACAGGAAGTCGGCCATTTTGAATTTTACGTCAAATTTTGGATGATTTACACACTTCGTACTTTAACGAACTCCTCCTAGGGATTTAGTCCGACCGACTTCAAATTTGTGCTGTGCCTTCTAAAGGCATTGAAGATGAAAAGTTGTGCTATTTGCGAGTTTTCGTCAATGGGTGTGTCCGTGGCGTGGCGTCAGAGATCAAGTCTTCGCCATGACACAGGAAGTTGTTGTAACTTCAGTGTACATGCTCACATCTGAACCAAACTTTACGTGCTTGATAACTCTCCCACCCCGTTATGGAGGACCGATCCTGACACAGTCAGAAATAAATACAGAAATAAATAAATGCTCAATAAATAAATAAGCATCCAATTAAATACACAAAAAAATAAGTAAATAAATAAATGTAGGTAGTAATTAAATTATACAAGGAGACATAATGTATATATTTAATTAGTGCCTTTACTTATTCACCTTTGTTATAATTACCTTATTTGTTTATTCAACTTTATTTATTACTAATTTTTTTAATGTATTTATTTATGTGTGTGTTTTAATATTTTTGTCTGTTTTATTCTTCCTTTGTATTTATTTACCTTATTTATTTTCACCCATGGTATTTATTTCTGCCTGTCTTTTTTAAATTTTTGTATGCATTTCTGCCTCATTATGCAAATGAGGAGGGGCTGTGTCTCAAGGGGTCATCTTCTCTGCTATTGGTGGACCAGTCAGACAGGAGAGCTCCTACTCTGCCTGCAGACATCAACGATCTTGCCCCTCACACAGTCAGATGGCTTCCTTCAGTGCGCTGAGGTGTTTAACAACTCTGAAGACAATACTACCAGCAATGTCTTCCTTCTCTTTTCACGTAGACGCTCCGACAGACAGTGCTTTCAGTTTGCTGCATGCATGGACACAGAACTGCGGTACAGCACACAGTAACGATGAAATGTGTGCTGTTCTCACATTCTTCCTCTGTATGTACACATAAACAACAAGGCAGGGAAATATAAAAGGAATTTATTTTATTGTTTGGGTACATTATTGTTCAGTGTACATGCTCACATCTGAAACAAACTTTACGTGCTTGATAACTCTCCCACCCCGCAGACATCTACACGCCAACACCGATTTATATTCATAGCGGCAAGTGCTATGTAGCTCCACATAGGGGACACAGGAAGTGACATATAACACCTTCATGCGGCGTCATAACCGCGTAGCAAATTCACAGCCGCACCGGCAGAGCTCCAGAATATGCAACTCGGCCGGCTCACACGCGGACGCGCTTATAAGTGCGAGGGCCCGCCCAACGCTGCTTGCAGCTTTAATTTTTCAGTATTTTTACAATCCATTAATGGAGAAAATAATGCCACAATGAAAATAATCGTTGCAGTCTGATACAAAATAGTTCAAAATGAGCTTCAGCTCAACAACTACAGCAGTAAAATACTGCTTTACATTAAACCATGAGGAATAATAATGACGGAATATGCCGAATATATAATAGTAGGCCTATGACAGTCACAGGGATATTCTTCTGATTATACTCACATACTTTTACTTAAGTAACAAACAGGACTTTTACTTGTATCAAAGTGAGTAATTCTGCTTAAGAAAAGGAGCTGAATCCTTCCTCCACCACCGCAGAAGGAAGAGTTTTTAACATAGTGTGTAGAATCACTTGAAGGGCTGTCGTCGCTCGGTGTCGCTGCTGAGCAAACCCTCCAGCGCAGAAACGATCTTTGGCGTAAGGCTCTGTGGCAACATCAGCAGATTAACAACAAGCAGCGGCATTCTGCTGCTTAACAACTCAACGGATGTGTGACTTGCTTCTCTGTCTGAGTCAGCCCATCAAGGAGTGCTGTATAGAGCCAGCTGGTAAGAAAGAAGAGGCTTTTTTCCACGAAGGAGGAGACACTGTTCGGAGACTGTGTTTTGGGCTAGCGGTTAGGCTAGTTAGCATGGCTGATTAGCGACTGTTAGCTAGAAAGATGAAAGTTAACACGTTAGCTACCAGCAGCCAGAAACAGGTGCGAACACTTGTCTGAGGTGGCAGGTAACGAATGCTCATTTTATGAAGCACATGTTGGGTGTTTGGTCACCGACCAGAGCTAGAAGCAAATATTTAAACCACATGAAAATGAAACCATAACTGTTGGTTTCATTTTGACATTACACCTTCTCTTTCTGATTGTAGGGATTTCCTTATAGGTTTTCCCCTAAAATCCAGGTCGACTGTCAGACTTTCTGTAACCTCCATGACTGTGTTTGCACTGACAGCAGTATATGAGCTAGCAGGACTGTTTGTTTTGCAGCTCTCTCAGCTAATGAGGTTTGTTTTGTTTGGATTGTAGGTCTGCATTCAGCCCTGACGACAGCAGCAGCAGCAGCCCTTTGCCTGACCTGCTGATGGAGCATTAACCCCCCCTGATGGAAACCCAGAGGAAAAGGTAGGTCTATGCCCAGCCCTTCCTAAAGAGGATTATTCTGCTCAACTGATGCTTTCTGGCTGGCAGGCTGGATGTGATCACCATGTGACATCGCCTACAGATGAAGTTCACTTCTGCTTTCACCCACAAAACATCTGTTGTTCAGATGTTATGCTGCACGGAAACACTGGCTCAGGCCAAATCCTGAGAGTTTGTCCTGTCTGTCTCATGTCTGTCATCTCTTCTTCACAGCTAGTCATCTTATAATTGTTGTTTTTCTTGTTTACTTGTGTCCTTCCCAATATGCTGCCATGTTTCTTGTCTGAAGAACGTTACGTTTCCGTGGCTGTTTGTGATACCTGGTGTTGTTTGTGTTGGCAGCCCTCTGGGATTTCAACTGTAGAATCAGTTTGCAAAACATGATACATTTACATTTTAGATGACGCTTTCATCCAAAGCGACTTACAATTGCTATATATAAGAGGTTGCACGCCTCTGGATCAACTAGGGGTGAAGTGTCTTGCTCAGGGACACATTAGTGTCTCACAGTGGATTTGAACCCGGGTCTCTCACACCAAAGGCATGTGTCTTACCCACTGCTCCATTCTTATTGATCACTCTCAGCTCTGGGGATAACGGTGGGGGTGAGCGAGGCCTGCTTCACACCTGGAAGGGCTACTCTTGCAGTGTCACCCCAGAAAGGCTGCTCCTCTCCCGGCCTGTCCTTCAGGTCGCCCTGGGCACACGGCATGGTGTTCTGCTGGTGGAAGGTATCATGTGTTATTGTTTGTTTTTTTATCTTTAGGGTATTTGTATGGCTTCATTACAAACAAACTGTAGACAGGTGACAGAAATTGAGGGAGAGAACTGGGGATACTGCATTTAATGGTTGCCATCTTAAACTCTGAGCCTCCCTAGACTTTATCATTGTTGAGTGGGGAGGAAAGATAATCAATAAATATTTAAAACATCCAATCATTATTGTTTTACAAACATACTTAGTAATGAATTGATTAATCGAAGCAAGCCTGCATTGACTGTGTGAAAGAATATTATTGTTGTGTGGTGAAAAAATAGTTCCCTCCAACTTTAAGCTTTTTTCACAACTGACAAAACAAACTTTATGATGAGACAAGCTGTCATCTTCCTCTGATTATTGTGCTGTTGTTGCTCCCAATTCAGGGGGGCAGGTGTACAGTTTTGGGGAGTTGCCATGGAAGCAGAGTCAAGTGCCCGAGACAGAGAAACCCACCCTGGAGAGCGCGCTCAGCGGCCAGCAGGTGGTCGCTGTTGCAGCTGGAAGCTTCCACAGCGGCGCGGTGACAGAGGACGGTGGTGTCCACATGTGGGGGGACAACAACTCGGGTCAGTGCGGCTTGTCGGGCCTCATCACCGTCCCCAACCCGACTCCCGTCGCTCTGGTGGACTCCGCCGCCAGCCCCCCACAGACTGTCTCAGTCTGGGAGCTGGCCTGCGGGGAGCAGCACACCCTGGCGCTGTCGGCCCAGCGGGAGGTGTGGGCGTGGGGCAGCGGTTGCCAGCTGGGCCTCAATGCCACAGTCTTCCCTGTCTGGAAACCACAAAAGGTTGAGCATTTAGCGGGCAGGTATGTATTACAGGTGGCCTGTGGGGCTTCACACAGTCTGGCTCTGGTGCGTTGCTTGGGCCCTCAGGACATCCACCGGGCACCTGTGGACAAATGCAGACAGTGTAACCAGCTACTTTACACCATGACGGACAAAGAGGACCATGTCATCATCTCTGATGGTCACTACTGCCCCCTTGGTGTAGAGCTCGCCGTGGATGAGGACGTGCTGGAGGCGCCTGCTTCCACACAAGGTCTCAAAACGTCCCCGTCTGAGCCAGTCCTACCCTCCCATACCGCCACTTTAAACTCAGCATCCTCAGCACCTGCTGAAGGTGCTGACCCCTCCTCAGACATCACACACCATCAGGACCTGGAGACAGAGGAATCGGCCTTGGCTAACGGAGCGCTGCCAGCCTCAGACCCGGACCCCTCGGCTCACTCTGAAGGTGGTGGTGTTTTGGAGGTCAAGAGCTCACCCTATCCAGATGAGCAGGCTGTCAAAGACTACCTGAAGAAACTGTCAGACAGCACCCAGGTTGAGCAGCCGGTTAAGGGGACTGCTGGAGGACCGCACACTCTGCTGGTGAGCTGGACTGGATCGTAACTATAAGGAAACATCCAGTACTGTCTGATATGAAAATCAGAAACAAGCCCTGTCCTTTCAGTCAGTCATGTCCTGGGTCACTGTACATACAGTATATATAATTCTTTCCGTTTTAGATGCTGTTCATGGACACTTGCAAAATTAGTTTGGTACCCAGAAGCCAACATTGATACTCGACCTGCAACACTGGCACCTGCTTCCATTAACATGAAAAATAAAAAAGATTTGAGCTCAAAGAGGCTCTTTCTCAGGTAGAGACTTTTAAAGAAAATTTCATCGGAGAGGATGACAATGATCCTCTACACGTTTGTACCTCACAGACTTTTCACTGTTTATGTGATTATTAACCAAAATATTGATTAGTCCAACAAGTAATATTGCATAATTCAACGGAGCTGGGTATCAAACATCGGTACTGAAATGCATCTGTTGCACAGAAACTGCTGAGTACCAAAGGCTGACACTGAATGTCTGTATCAAATTACTTATTAACTAACTCTATAATCGGGTAGCTGCTTATTTAAATCAAAATGTCGCCAATTTAAGCCTATTAGATTTTATTTAGGAGAACATTTAGGAAATTTGTCTTCTTTTATAAATGAAAACACGCAGGTTTCGAACACTTTTTCTGCAGTTCATTGATCTGATCATATACAGTATAATAGAAGCTTGATATAATGTGTTTCTGACTTTAGCATTGTATCTGTGTGTGTGCCTCTGCTTTGTTCCTCCTCCAGCCCTCAGCAGGAGGGCTCACCGCCTCCACCCCCGGCTCCACGCTCAACAGCCTGGTGGCCTCCTGCGCTTCTGCAGTGGGCGAACGGGTCGCCTCCACCTATGAGGCGTTGTCCCTCAAAAAGATGATGAACTTGTACCTGCCCTCGGGGGTGTCAAGGTCAGGTGGGCCGGCAGGGCTTACGGGTGTTGTCCCGGGAGTGGCTGAGACCACCACAGAGCGTGTCCGCCAGGAGGACTCCACGCAGGCCAAGAAGAGCTGCAGCACAGGGGACATCCGCGAGGAGGAGGCTGAGGATCTGCGGCGGCGCCTCTCGCTCCCGGGACTCCTCTCACAGGGTAGATACGCTGTTCAACTCTTATCCTCCTCCTATACCCTGCTGCGTAAGTACTTCTTACGCATGTGCAGGTTTATGTCAGTCTGCGTGTCTGTCTTTGCTTCAGGCTTCTTCATCCAGCCCGTAAGCACGGCAAAGCCTTCTCCCGGATCACACTGTGCACAACTGAGTCTTTTTTATTCTGTGTATGACTCTCCAGGAAGTTGGACACAACTGCTTACTCACCACTCACTGTATTGTTACTTATTTATTTACTACTTACTACATGGTTACTACTGAATGTTTCCTTGCTTCTGTGGTACTTACTACCTCATTTCTTCTAACTCAGTACTACTACAGTGTTTTGAGGAAAACTCAAAATTGTTCATTTGTTATGACATTTTGCTGAGAAAATCACTTCAGTGACTTATTTTTTTGTCCATTTTTCTTCCTTTCAAAGTCTCTAATTAGCTTCAAATATAGATGTATTGCTCCTTTTTTCAGGATAACCACAAGTGTCCCAGTAGGCTTATTTTTAATTTGCAAGAAAAACATCTATAGCCACTCAAGAATGCAACAGCCAGTACACAACAAGCAAGACGAACTGGAGAAACTCATAATCCTCCAAAAGGAACCAGTTTGACATGGATCACTGTGTTAGTCGGCCTCTCGAACATTTCTTCATGATAAAACCAACTTGAATACGGATGATTGTCTTCTCCAGAAGGCGTGTGTGTATATGTTTTAGTACACTCAAGGAAGGAAATGTTGGTCCATCAGTCCTTTAGTTTCCAGCCATGGAAGAGTAACGCTATTTTTGTTGTGCAAAAGCCTGGAAATGACATATGACCCACATAAAATGGTTACTAAAATAACACCAGTTTGATTTACAGCCGTGATATTGGTCTCTTGTTAAAGGTAGTGTTTTTAGAGTTCACCATCAAGTCAGAATGAGTCTAAAGTCAGTGGTCCTCAACCATTTTTCAGTTAAGAAACAGATTTTTAATCTTCTAATAACAGTAAATAGAGAATTACAAAACAAATCACAGAATGAAATATACCCTCATTTCAGGTACAGCCAAATCAACACTGATCAAAGTGGTCACAAACTAACAGTGGATGAGTATTATTTATCGCACCGTGAAAATGTCATGCTGTTGCAACCCTACCCTGCATTCTTCTCTGACAAGGGTCTGTTTAAGTGAACGTTTTGATGAAAACCTTGTTTGTTTACAATAGATATAAGTGTGTCACATGCATTAACATTATCAATAAATATAGCTATTAGAATTATGTTAAAATACAAAAAGTGCTGGGAAACGAGTCCTGTCTCCCTCCACATCTCAGTGTTTGTCTGTCTGCTGCCTGCAGGCTTCTCCTCATCGTTTGTTTGCTGGCATGTGTTTGACTTGACCTGGCTGATATGAGGTGAACGTCACTGCTGTCTCTGTGCGGCCATTTTGTTTTGATAACACATTGATTTCTTCTGCTGAACTTTGCACCTGAGATTCATTCAGGTTCAAGGCTTGCCTTGAAAACATGTCAACATTTCCACACTTCATTAACTACAACACTGATGAAAATCTGATTCAGGTTTATTTATTTCTAATAGTTTCTCACATCTAATAATTTGTCCTGGTATTTTGGTACATAACAATAACCTAAAACAAAGTCATGTGTAATTCCATTATTCCATGAAGAGTACAATCCGATATACTGTACGTGTTATCTCAGCCAGTAACCTGTTGTTTTAGAAGTTTAATCAATGGATGAAATGTACATTGAGTTCTGGCTGGTGTTAAAGGGAGAGTGGGGTACAGTTTGTGACATCATTCAGCTGCATTATTCTCTGCAGTATAACCATTTATATTTGTAACGCTAGTCAGTAATGCTGTTAGATTAGAGCTGCATTTAGGATTATACATCGGCCGATTGATCGGTCTTTCACTACAATAAACATAGTGAGAGAAATGAAAAGAATAAAAACAAGTACTGTAAAAGTCAAGTCATAAATATACATTTACAGTAAGAAATATGAGAAGTGTATTTAAAAAATATGTCAAATGTATCTGTAGCTTTTAAATTTAAAACACATCTTTTTAAACTGGCACCACGTGACCACTATTTATTAGGTCACAGCGATCTTTGTTTACAGTTGTTATGTACCCTGATTTTATGCACTGTAATTATAGTTGTTAATTTTATAAATTTATTGCTGTACTGTTTTATGTTTTGTGAGGTGACCTTGTGTGTTCAGAGAGGCGCCTATAAATAAAATTTATTATTATTATTATTAAAACAAACAGGATGGAACATCTAGAAATATTGAGAAAGGAATGTTCACAATATAGAGTATGTGCAAAAATGATAATCCCGAAATGTGCGTTCACAGTGGATCATCCTGAAAAAGGAAAATAATTAAGAAATACAGTTTTGTTTTTGTTTTGTCTGTGCACCCACAGTGTCCCCACGGCTGCTGAAGAAAGTTGGCCACCCGAGGATGCGTGCAGTCGCCCTCACCCCGATAGGAGGGGCGGTTGCCGAGGCCCAGGAGGCTTTTCCCACCCTGCAGACGGAGGTGTGGAGTTGGGGCCGTTGCGAGCACGGACAGCTGGGACATGGAGACACTCTGGACAGGTAGGAGGAAGGTTCGCTGCACTGCATCTGTCAGTGACTCTGTTTCTGCACTGCGCAAAGAATAAAATTCACAAAACAATAACAGCACAACAGAAATGAGAGCATGAGACCAAGGAAGGGCCTGAGACTACATTCATTCAAACTGTAATATGCATAATTGTGTAGTCCTTGAATACGACCTACAGAAAGGTTTTTGCTTATATTCAGGCCAATACAGGAATAATTGTCTTAGAACTTCATTGACGTTTTTGCATACAAGCATAAAAGCAGTTAAATGTAATGAAGTGTTGTTTTAAATTTATAAGATAATTTTAGGTAAACTATCCAAATTATTTAATTAGGACATTTTTAACTTTTCAAAGCCGTCATAATCTCAGGTCACATAAGTGGCTACAGTTCAAAGTGCCTGCTATCAGAACAGAAGCTGGAAAGCTAAGCCTGTTCTGTTATGGCCCTTGGTCTTGGAATGATGTGCAGACCAAGCTCAAACTTCAATCCCTCATCTCTCTAAATGATTTTAAACACAGAATAAAGGAGGTGGTCACCGCTAACTGCAGCTTCTTTGCCAATTCCATTACCACTTAACTCTTTATTAAATCTATGATCTAATACTGTTGTTTTTGTGAACAGTACTATGTAGGGTATTATGTAATATCTAAATGTTGTGTTGTTGTGCTGTGTTTTCTGTTGTACCTAATGATGTTGTTGTGATTGGTTCTTATTGTTGCTTGGTTATCTGTTTGATCCTGCTATCTGACCCTGTATTGAGTAGGTCTCACTTGTAAAAGAGGTTTTAAAGGTTATAAAGATATACACAAGCTGTTGTGGGCCACTAAAATATGTTAATCATCTATGACAGTGGTGTGATGTGTCTTTTTGCAGATTACAGCCGCTGTGCATCAAGAGTCTGAACAATAAGGAGGTGGTGCTGGTGGCGGCCGGCGCTCATCATTCCCTCGCTCTGACTGCTCAGTCTCAGGTCAGTCAGAGGCTTCAGTCCTTTTACCAGCTACACAGCATTACCACCACAGTATTTTACACTCCAGAAACAATTGTTTCCAACCAGTTTTCCTTTTCCATTTCTATCCTTGTGTTTATTTGGCCAAATGTAGACTTCACTGTGGAGTTTGATGACATAAAAAAGGGCCTCTGTCTTCCAGGTGTTTTCATGGGGAAGTAACAGCTCTGGTCAGCTTGGACACATGGAGTCACCCAGCACCGTCCCCCGCCTTGCAAAGGTGAGGAGACCACCTCCTTTACAAACACACAGGTACAGGAAGCCCTGAAGTTCAATAACTCCTGTTCCTGTAGGGTGACTGTGGCTCAGGGGGTAGAGCGGGTTGCCCGTTAATCGGAATGTCGGTGGTTCAATCCCCGGCTCCTCCAGGCTGCATGTTGAAGTGTTCTACCAGTGTGTGAGTTAGTTTCTGTTTGAGCACTTAGGCTCAGTGTATCTTTACATTTACATGTTCCTCTCTGCTTCCCCTTGCAGCTATCGGAGGGGATCCGGGTCTGGGATGTAAGTGCCGGAGAGAGACACACCCTCCTGCTCGCAGACGGAGACTGCATCCAGCCCATCATTTATTACAGCGGACAGCAGGTGAAAGAGGGGGCAGAAGAGAGCCAGCTGGGTCAGCAGGAGGAAGAGGAGCAGTGGGCTGGCGGCTACACCCAGCAGCCTGTACTACTGCCCTTCTGCATGAACGTAAGGACAAAGTAACTGGTAGTTTGTTTGCAGGATCTTAGACTACTGCTGAATCAAAGTACAGTTAAGTAAACACATTGTCCTGCATGAAGTGTATAGAAACCAACAGTAGTCTAAAACACAGTATTTCTTTATGTGATTTTGTACAACACAGTCGTGTATCATGATTCAATGAGTTGTGTATTGATTGGCATTATGATTATTATTATTATTATTATTATTATTATTATTATGATGGGTTTCAGTACCATGTTGTTCAGCCAAAACGATTCTGTCTGACTGGTAAGGAAACTCAGCTATTTAACCTCTGTGGGATCATTAGCTAGGTTCGTCAATACCACTGGTCCGTTAGTGCTCCTAGCTGTGGTAACGACAGTCATCATGGTCGTTAGAACCACCCGTGGCCAAGTCTGAACGACCATCGTTGGTATCTTCACCTGAGGCCAAGTGGAAATGCTTGTTCAGTTTCCTGGGAAGTTTTGAAACAAAAATTCATTCGAAATTTAATTCAGAACTGAAGAAGTCTCTTGGATGAGGGATGAAACGTCTTCTAGTTTTTTTTGGATTGGATAATAATTAATAATAACATTTAACAGTCATACAAGTAGTTACCTTTCTGAAGTAGCTTTGACCCAACAGACTAATGCCTTGATAATAACTCAGTGAACAGGTAACACGAGATAAGAGGTCTTATTATATAATTACAGCATCAGAGAGGGATTAAAATCAAAGGAAATGTAATAAATGTACGGTATCTAAAGATCATTTAAAGTTCTAATAGCTTAAACTATAATAAAAGTGTGTGATGGCAGTTTTTTGTGATTCCCATGTGTTGCAGCTGCGTTATGTGAGCAGTGTGTTTGCGGGGGGACAGCGGTGCGTGGCGCTCTCGGACCAGAACGTGATGGGCTTCATCGCCAGCCTCCATGAGCTGGCGTCAGCCGAGAGAAAGTTCTACTGCAAGCTTTGTAACGTCAAGACACAGATCATACGCCCCCTGCTGGAGCTGGGTGAGTGGCCCATCAGGAAAAAAGGAGGAAAAGAGAGAATTCCCAGATTTGAACACAGGAGGCAAATCTTTTAAATCAGCACAATTTTTATCGTTTGTTTCCATTTTTGTGCCGTCTTTCTCCAGAGTCTCTGAATTCGGCCCTCAGCCCAGTGGCCCTCGGTCTCCTGCAGACTCTGGCAGGCCAATTCAGTCTCTTGTGTCATCTAACTGGGCAGCACGCCGCCAGCCTCACCGCAAACCTGCGCCGCGGCCGCAATGTCAAGAGCCTGCTCATCCTCGACTATGCCAGCATCTTCCTCGACTCTCACCATGAGTATGTGTTCCCCATCATGAATTTGAATATTTGTACACTTCATTTTAAACAATAGATTGAACTTTGAACACTTGTTTCTTTGTCAACGCCAAGGTACTGCAGCGCTGTGGGCAACTTCCATGTAATGGGAGGTTTCCAGACCCTGATCAAACCCTCTCTGTGAGCACACACAGACACACTTTTTCACACTTTCCTAAAAATCCAGCAATATTTCAATGCAACAGCCAAAAACACAAGAGAACAGTACTCTAAATGTGATAAATGTAGCTGATAAACAACTAGATAATTTTCTTTGAAGAGATTTCTTTGGGAAGAGTGCTGAGCTGCTTCAGAAGCTGTCTGAGTGCAGCGAGGAGAACCTTACCATGGCGGACCTCCTGGTGGCACTCTTCTATCTCCCAACTCCCCACCTTCATGAATACAGCCGGTTGCTGCTCAAACTGGCCACCTGCTTTGAAGTGGTAGGTGAAACAAGCACTAGTCAAGACAATGATTTTTATGTTTTTTTTAATTTACTGACCGCAGGCAGCACACACACACACACACCTCGCTTCCTTCCAATTTATTAAGAAAAAATGTGAAAAAGTCAAAAGAAAAAAAATCATTGTGGAAAAGTAAATTTTCTTCCGTAATTTAATTCAAAAAGTATTCACCACTGACAGAAGATGGATGAATGATTTTGGTATTTGTATTTTTTTGTTTTTCAGTTTTTCCCCTAGGATTTTTTTCAGGGGGGGGATAGTAGTGTTTCTGAATTCTGTGTTTTACAATTTAAGCACATTTTGTCTTCAGAGTGTAATCATGTGGTAGATGAATACAGTTTTAACAATTCAATAAGAAAATATTAGAAATTGAATCAACATCAGGCTCCCCCTCAAAACAATGGTTTTTAGATTATTAAAAAGAGCAAAATATTTTTTTAAAAATTGGGTGTAGTTTATTTTGATTGTTTTATTGTTTTTGCTGAAATTCAACTTAAAAAGCAATATTAACTTAACCCTAAAACCTTCCTAAAAAGTGAATTAAGATATGTTTAAAACACCTCAAATGTTTAGGGTTTCACGTTATTTCTATTGGAAAAATCAACAGAATCGGAACCTACCCTATAGAAAATCACAATTTATGTCACTGTAAATATATATAACCTTGTGTGTGCTTGTGTATGTGTTGCCAGTGCTCCAATGAGTACCAGAGGCTGCAGGACAGCTGCTCAAAGTTCGAAGCGTTGGCCCTCCAGCTGAAGAGAAAAAGGAAGGACGCCAACTACACCTTTCATTTCTGGAAGAGCTTCCCTGGCAAAATGACGGTAAACTCGCTGAGTGTGCGCATTCCTTTTCATTACCACCAAGCGTATCCTTCACATTGAGACCTGGAGGTGTCACATTTTGCTGAATGGTGTCATTGTGTGTTGTCAGGACTCGCTGAGGAAGCCTCACCGCCGGCTGATCTGCGAGAGCAGTAACAAAGCTCTGACCCTGCAGAACGCCGGGAGGTTTTCCGTCAACTGGTTCATCCTTTTCAACGACGCTTTGGTCCATGCCCAGGTCAGCTACACACACACACACACACACACACACACACACACACACACACACTTTTCATTACGTCCTTCAACTCTTTCACTTTTTTGAAGCCGTCTATATTTCAGACAGTGTAACTTGGTCTGTTTCAAGCGTTTGTGTGTGCTTACCTCCGTGTTGTCAGGGCTTGTAAAAATCTTGTAAGTATGCAGCCAGAAGCAAATGTTAGCACAGCGACCCCGTACTCTCCCCTGTCCCACTCTTTCTTTTCGTGTGTGTGTGTGTGAGAAGGGCTTAGGGCTCTGTGTCATGGGATTCAGCCCTGTTGGAGCGGATTCACATTTAAACACATGACAAACACACACCCGGATAAAACAGGTGAAGGCACCAATGCTAATACAAATATCTGTTTATTTATTATTTATTTATCTAGGGTTCAGCAATATAGAGAAAATCCAATTACTTCCTTTTTACTTTCTTCTTCTGTACTTCCTCTCTCTTTAATTCCTTTCTTTCTTTATGTCCTACTTTACTTCCTTTCTTTACATAATTTTTTACATCCTTTCTTTCTTTACGTCCTTCCATCCTCTATCCCCAAAGGTTTACATTTATATTACATACATACACCATAACATTTATAATTAGAATTTCTTTGACACTTTTTGGAAATCACTTGTCTGTTATTAGCTTATCCAACAAATTAAATACCTGACAAATCAAGGTGCTTAATCGCATTGATGCTAAAATAATAATCAAACCAGGAACAAATGTTAAAGGATAGGTTCAAATTTACACCTGAAAACAAGGCTCACATGCTACATGTATGTTTAGAAAGATTCGCTGTAATTATTCTTTCTTTTAATTCTGGCCATGAAACGTGACTACACTGTAAGAAATTAAGAAATTAAATCCACAGTTTTTGTTCCATGCAAAACTGCATTTCAAATTTCATTCAAAGCTAAAATGAGGCACAAAACAAGGACTGCATTTTTAAAAATTTGCTCATAAGTATAGGTGTGCATTACTACTTTACTATGTGATGTACTACCAGTGATACCCAGCCCTATCCCCACCTTCACCCTCTGCCTGCTCGCCACCTGAAGGAGACTGCATGGAAAGATGAACTGACTCGAACCAAGGCTCAATGGCTCATTTTTACATACTATACTATATCACTGTTCTTGTTCTTCCTTTTCCCGCAATTCAACATTTAAAACCAATTCAGCTTGAAATACAAAACACAAAAACAAATGTTATGTTCTTCTTAAGAGTACTTTTTTTCCTGTCGGTGCCTTGGTTTTTACTGTTGGTTCACTTGTAATTTAACGACAGGCGTAGGATTTGAAAGGCAATCACTTTAGCAGAGGAGCCTATTTTATCCTTTCAAATTACAGTACCAACAGTTTCTGGTTCACTTCTCCAAAGCAATTTCCTTTCCTCTCTCCCGCTTTGTCTCCTCCTTCTTCTGTCCATCCCTCCCCATCTCTTCTAGTCTGCATCGGTCCTGTGGTTGTCCTGCACATTTAAGTCCCTCTGCTTCCTGACTGTGTGACGTTCTGTCATTATTTGAAAAAAACAAAACAACTTCTTTACTTTTCATCCTTATTTCCTTTTTTACTTCCCTTATACTTCCTTCTATCTTTACTTCTCTTTTACTTCCTTAATTCCGCCTGGACCTTTGGGTGAAAAAGAGTATGCATGCTTAGTTCTTAACTTCCTCTTGAGTCTAGCTCTAATAACCTTTTCACTTCCTTTCTACTTTACTTCCTTCTTCACTGTCTTACTTCCTCTTTACTTCCATACTCCCTTCTTTACTTCTTTATTCTTACTTCGTAATTTACTCCCGTTTCACTTCCCTACTTCCTTCTGTACTTCCGATTTACTTTATTTCATTTTTTTTTTTGCATGAATAATGAGCAGGGTATTGGTAATAAAGAGTATACATGCTTAGTTCCTACCTCTTTAAGGTACACATGTTGTCTTGCATGATTAATCTGGCCCCCCTTAGATTAATCTTTGCAAAGTCTGCATCAACGTTCCTTCCTTTTTACTTATTTGCTACCTTTTGAATTCCCTTCTTTTTTCTGTCTTTACTTCCTTTATGCTTCCTTTTTTACGTCACTTCCTCTCTTTAGTTCCATTTGACTTCTCTTTTACTTCCTTTTTACAGCTGTTATATTATTAGTGGAAGTTGTCTGAAATGTAAACAATAAACAAACTAAACTGGAGCAGGAAGGAAAGTATGCTGCTGGTAGAAGGAGGTATATTATCTGCAACTCCATGCGTGAGTCTCTCCACAAAGAAGCAATTAATGATTATTAAAAGGCATTAGTTTTTCTTTGTCAGTGTCCTGCTTGAATTGTTGCACTTAAAAAATCAAAGCATTTTTTCCTGTTAATTATGAGATTATAGAGAAACACCTCCTGTTTGTGTGTAAGGCTCATACACACCTTATGGGCTTACTCATAGCAATTAGGATTGTGTCACTGTCTCTCAGTGTGGTCAGATGTGTTAATAAGATTAATGATGTGTCCTGTTTCTTTCCATTTCTAAACACTTACCTTTCCTTTCTTTCTTCTCTCCTCTTTCCTCACCTTTTCCTTAATTACCCTTTCCTCTCCCCCTGCTTCCTTTCCATCCTCCATGCTTGTTCCTCTCCTCCAGTTCTCCACACATCACATCTTCCCTTTGGCCACACTTTGGGTGGAGCCAATCCCAGAGGAGAACACTGGCCTGTAAGTCTGCTCCCAGTGGAACATTTTTACAGCTTTTCTGTGGAGGAATACTCAAAAATAACATAATTCAACATAATTTCCAGATCTTTTTATTTTGTTGTGTTTAGTCAATTTAAATAGTTACAGTGGGTACGGAAAGTATTCAGACCCCTTTAAATTTTTCACTCTTTGTTTCATTGCAGCCATTTTCCAAAAATCAAAAAAGTTCATTTTATTTCTCAGTAATGTACACTCAGCACCCCATCTTGACAGAAAAAAACAGAAATGTAGAAATTTTTGCAAATTTATTAAAAAAGAAAAACTGAAATATCACATGGTCATAAGTATTCAGACCCTTTGCCGTGACACTCATATTTAACTCAGGTGCTGTCTATTTCTTCTGATCATCCTTGAGATGGTCCTACACCTTCATTTGAGTCCAGCTGTGTTTGATTATACTGATTGGACTTGATTAGGAAAGCCACACACCTGTCTATATAAGACCTTACAGCTCACAGTGCGTGTCAGAGCAAATGAGAATCATGAGGTCAAAGGAACTGCCTGAAGAGCTCAGAGACAGAATTGTGGCAAGGCACAGATCTGGCCAAGGTTACAAAAAAATTTCTGCTGCACTTAAGGTTCCTAAGAGCACAGTGGCCTCCATAATCCTCAAATGGAAGACGTTTGGGACGACCAGAACCCTTCCTAGAGCTGGCCGTCCGGCCAAACTGAGCTATCGGGGGAGAAGAGCCTTGGTGAGAGAGGTAAAGAAGAACCCAAAGGTCACTGTGGCTGAGCTCCAGAGATGCAGTCGGGAGATGGGAGAAAGTTGTAGTAAGTCAACCATCACTGTAGCAATCCACCAGTCGGGGCTTTATGGCAGAGTGGCCCGACGGAAGCCTCTCCTCAGTGCAAGACACATGAAAGCCTGCATGGAGTTTGCTAAAAAACACCTGAAGGACTCCAAGATGGTGATAAATAAGATCCTCTGGTCTGATGAGACCAAGATAGAACTTTTTGGCCTTAATTCTAAGCGGTATGTGTGGAGAACACCAGGCACTGCTCATCACCTGTCCAATACAGTCTCAACAGTGAAGCATGGTGGTGGCAGCATCATGCTGTGGGGGTGTTTTTCAGCTGCAGGGACAGGACGACTGGTTGCAATCGAGGGAAAGATGAATGCGGCCAAGTACAGGGATATCCTGGACGAAAACCTTTTCCAGAGTGCTCTGGACCTCAGACTGGGCCGAAGGTTTACCTTCCAACAAGACAATGACCCTAAGCACACCGCTAAAATAACGAAGGAGTGGCTTCACAACAACTCCGTGGCTGTTCTTGAATGGCCCAGCCAGAGCCCTGACTTAAACCCAATTGAGCATCTCTGGAGAGACCTGAAAATGGCTGTCCACCAACGTTTACCATCCAACCTGACAGAACTGGAGAGGATCTGCAAGGAGGATGGCAGAGGATACCCAAATCCAGATGTGAAAAACTTGTTGCATCTTTCCCAAAACGACTCATGGCTGTATTAGATCAAAAGGGTGCTTCTACTAAATACTGAGCAAAGGGTCTGAATACTTATGACCATGTGATATTTCAGTTTTTCTTTTTTAATAAATTTGCAAAAATTTCTACATTTCTGTTTTTTTCTGTCAAGATGGGGTGCTGAGTGTACATTACTGAGAAATAAAATGAACTTTTTTGATTTTTGGGAAATGGCTGCAATGAAACAAAGAGTGAAAAATTTAAAGGGGTCTGAATACTTTCCGTACCCACTGTATATGTGTGTGTGTGTGTGTGTGTGTAGATATGGGTTAAAGGTCATTGCACCAGAGGAGACATTCACCCTTCTGGCATCCTCTCCCATGGAGAAGGTACGTGTTTTATGCTGCTGCTACTTATCACACGTTATTACACTAGTCTCTGTGTGTGCTGCAATCTGCTCATCATCCACGCACACACCATATTCCCCTAAAAACATATATGTCAAACCAGATCAAATAATTGTATAAATTCCGTTAAAGACAACAACCTACCATAACCCCCACGCTAATTGTTCAAAATATAGTTGGACTAGCCACCTGAGCACCAAGAAAGATGCCCGTGGGCCTGTCGCTCTATGACGGAGACAGAGGTACGTTGTTGGCAGTTGAAGCGGTGAATCATTTAGCTTTAGCCATTTAACGTTAGCTGTATTGTTGCCTTTGTTGTTCAACACGATCAACTTTTCATAAAGCCAATGTGCTTGTCAGTGTCCGTTGTCTTCAACTGACCAATTACAGCCTGGATGGGGCAGGACATTAAAAAAAGTTTAGCCAGAGCCAGGATGCCATTGTGCCAATTTGAGCTGCTTCTAGCCATCGCCTCACGCGCCCCTTATTCGGTTTTACTAAAGTTATTGTTATCAATATTGTTCAGTAATCTTGTTCAACTAAAGTGTGTGTGTGTGTGTGGGTTGTGTGGGTGCGGCGGGTGTATTGTGTATCTGTCCCTGGTTCAAAAACTACAAGTTCCACAAGCCGCAATGCACCAATCACAGTAGAGTTTTCTATGATGAGTGTTTTAAAAAGCTGTTTACAATGTGGCAAAATCAGTAATTTTGGACTGGTGACAGAAATGCTTATGCTTGTTTAACTTTTTTTCACGTTGAGACAAACACATTTAAAAATGTCCGTATTTTGTGCATTTTCCTTGATACTCAAGAAAGTAGACTCATGGTACCATTTGTTCCATTATATCTCAAATTGCAGTATTGTCCACAAAAATCGCAATATGAGTTTTTGTCCAAATCGTGCAGCCCTAATTACCTTAAAACTACATTTCCATTTGTTGCCACTCAAAAGAACTGCACCTCTGTGACATTTCCCTCTTTAAACGTGTGCATGTATTGGCTGCTAGGCCAAGTGGCTTTGCTCCATCAACCAGGCGGTAGACCAGGCCCTGAGTGGGGCGGGGCAGGACACGGCATCAGTCAGCTCAGGGTCGGGGCAGAAGTTAGAGCCTCCAATCTCCAGGATGGCCTCTTACACCTTTTATAAGGACGGACGGCTGAAAGATGCAACATATGAAGGACGCTGGCTTGCCGGGAAGCCAAACGGCAGGTTGGACGCATATTCTCTCTGTTTGCATGTTGATTTGAATATATTAGAAATTTATATATTGATATGTAACAATGATTGGGATTATGTTTTTCAGGGGAGTGTTAAAATGGTCTGATGGGAGGATATATACAGGGACGTTCAAGAATGGACTGGAGGATGGGTGAGTGCTGGCCACCAACATTACTCTTTAATATAATAATAATAATCTTTATTTGTAGAGCACTTTTCAAAAACAAGTAACAAAGTGCTTTAACAAGTGTAAAGACAATAATACCCAAAAAACAATAATACAAAAACAATACAAGAATATACCCGCAAGCGGCGATTCGCGAGTTCATACCTTTTTCGCAATATCGCCATCAAAAAAATTTCACACATACGGTTCAACATTGTTATAAAACCTATCCTACAAGTTTTGTAACAACTGGACAACCATTTTCTGATCTATAGCTCGATTTGTATCATTCCACATCCAGTTACGATGCATTTAAAGCGCCACCTAGTGGTCGATTTGAATGAAACTTTCAAGGCATATTTCCGGCACACATGTGGACATATCCTGTGAGTTTTGTGATGATTGGACCAATGCTTACGGATTCTTGTCTATTTATGTCCTGAGCCACACCCTTCACATGTTTATTGGTCAATATCTTGAAAACGAAAGGAGCTATCACCAAGCTTTATACAACTTTATATACGCTAAGGCCAATGATGATCCAGAAAAAATTTGGTGGCAATTGGAGCTACGGTCTAGGAGGAGATGTAAAAAGTGTGTTTGCATTATGGCAAGCGGCCATAAAAATCCTGTTTTAATGTGTTATGTATCTGTATGTGTTGGGCAATAGTTCTTCAAATACGCTAGTTGACCTTTTCCTTAAAAAACAACTACAGCTTTTATTTGTAGGAGTGCACTGACTGCAAAGAACAAAACATTTACTGGGAACAAGCCCACTCAAGATTACAGACATCAGGGAGCATTAATATTTTTCTTTCATATTAGACTATAGAATAATGTAATTGAAATATACACTATGTAAATACTAGTATTATTAACCATACTATTTCATTAAAATGGTTTGAAAATATAGATGCCAGTAAAACTACAATACAATACTCTCTCTTGCTGCTGTGTTTCTAACATCTCAACAAACAGCATGGCAGAGCGAGAGAGAGATCATTTACACTCCCGGCTCCGTACCTTTCATCCAGCGCAGCCAGCCGCCATATTGGCGTAATAACCGCGGATAATAAAGCAGCATGAAAGCGGCTAAATGACAACAACCGCAATCCATAGCCTGGTATCAACCGATCCAGTACAACAGTTTGTCCCATACACGGAGCAGCAGCTCACAGTCACGATGATTAACGATGCTTCACTCACCAAAGCAGGCTCACTTCAGCAGAAAGGCGCAGCGGCGGCTGGGCAAACTTCCGGAGGACTGAAGTTTTTCAGAGAGCCCGCAGACTCGTTGTGGCCCGGCAGTGCTGTTTAACATTTTCCACAGAGTTTAATAAGCGTTACGATCCGACCGTCACTGAGCTCGTAGCTGTTTCCTCTGTCTATTTGTTGGGCAGCGATGTTTAACTCTTTAAAGTAAGCTCAGTTCACAGCATCGTCCAGATAACTCCCGCTGGTGTCATGTTTTGCAATCCTCGGGTATATCCGAGGCACCTATCTGAACATATCCTGTGAGTTTTGTGATGATCGGCTCTACGGTTGCTGATTTGTGGTCATTTATGTCCAGAGCCACGCCCTTTCAAAGTTCATTGGTCCATATCTTGAAAAGTAATTGAGATATCGACATGCTTTATACAACTTTTAATAAGCTTGATCCAATGATGATTCACTGAAAATTTGGTGGCAATCGGAGATACAGTCTAGGAGGAGATGTCAAAAATGTGATTTTCAAAAAATTCAAAATGGCGGAAAAAACTCTAGGCGGACCTTAATAGTACTTGAGGCTTTTTTGTAGAGCACATTGAGCTGCACCTGTGTGAGAATTTCAAGTCAATCGGATTTACGGTGTAAGGGGCGTGGCCTTTCAAAGTTTGCATTTTTAAGCGTTATTTACAGCGCCACCATGTGGCCGATTGAGTTCATATTTCTATGGAAGCTGATGCACACCATTTCCAGTTATTCCCCCAAGTTTCATGTTTCTAGCTCATTCCAGCTCATGGGAATTTGAGCCGGCGCGGCAGACAACAGACTACGCAGTATGAACCCTAATAAAAGCAAGAAAACATTGAAAACACTAAAATACACGTTTAAGATAAATATAGAATAAGTAAAATAGAATAAAATAAAAGGCAAATAAGATCGGGAAAGGCTCTCCTATAAAAGTATGTTTAAGAAGGGACTTAAAAGAGTTCACTGACTCAGCCGACCTGATTTCCTCGGGCAGGCTGTTCCAGAGCCTCGGGGCCCTGACAACAAACGCTCTGTCCCCTTTAGTTTTCAGTCGAGACTCTGGAACAGACAGCAGACCTCTGCCCAAGGATCTCAAGGTATGAGCTGGTGTATGGGACTAAAAGGTCAGAAATATAACAAGGCGAGAGGCCATGAAGAGCTTTAAAAGTGATCAATACATTTTTTTAAGTCAATTCTAAAACATACTGGGAGCCAGTGTAGTGAAGCTAAAATATGGGTAATGTGGTCATATTTCTTCGTTCAGGTTAAAAGCCTGACAGCTGAGTTCTGGACAGTCTGGAGTCGATCAGTAGATTTTTGGGTTAAACAAGTGAAAAGGCTGTTGCAACAATCCAGGCGCTTAAAAGTTAACATAGATCGAATTTTTGCTATATTTCTAAGTTGATAAAAACATGATTGAACAAGCTTTGTGGTGTGCTGCTCGAAATTTAAATTACTATCAAACCAGACACCAAGGTTCTTTGCAACAGGCTTAATGTGATTTACCAGCAGATGGCAGATTTGCCATCTGCTGGGACCCAATGACCAGGATATCTGTTTTGTCTGAGGTCAGCTGGAGGAAATTATTTGACATCCATTTTTTAACTTCACAAGGCAGTTAAGTGAAATCAGCATTCCAGGGTCTGTGGATCTGACGGGCAAGTACATTTGTGTGTCATCAGCATAAATATGAAAAGAAATACCATGTTTGTGGATAATATGTCCAAGGAGAAGCAGATACTAGGAAAACAAAATGGGTCCTAAGACTGACCCCTGAGGTACACCATATTTAACTGGACAGAACGAAGAGACATAGTTGTTTATAGACACGCAAAACTTCCTATTGACAGGTAGGATGAAAACCATTCTAGTGTAGTACCAGAGATCCCCACCCAGTGCCTCAGTCTGTCTAACGTGATGTTGTGATCAATGGTGTCAAAAGCAGCGCTAAGGTCCAGGAGTACCAGGACTGAGCACATGCCATCATCAGCAGACATTAAAAGGTCATTGGTGACTTTAAGCAGGGCAGTCTCAGCGCTGTGGTACTTCCTAAAACCAGACTGAAACTTTTCAAATAATTTGTTATTTTCCAGTACAGTGACCAGCTGTTCGGACACAATTCTTTCAAGAATCTTTGCAATAAAAGGCAGTTTTGAAATTGGTCTAAAATTTTGATGGAGGGAGGGATCTAAACCAGGTTTCTTTAAAAGTGGGTTCACGTAAGCCGTTTTAAAATAATCAGGGACACAACCAGTAGATAGGGAGCTGTTAAAAACAGAGATCAAATGGGGCCCAACAGAATCCATTACTTTCAGTAAAAACTTTCTAGGTATAACATCAAGTGGGCTGGAGGACACTCTCATTTGTGATACTGTTTTAAAAGCTCAGACAGGTTGATGGGATAAAACTGGTTAAAACTCTCTTGTTGCTGGTGAGGGACCTCTGAGTAAGAGGCAGTGGGGGTAATAGAGGCTCTGATTGACACCACCTTATTGGTAAAATAAGATAAAAACAATTCACAGTCATCATTACTTCCAGCTGAGGCACAAGGAGGGGTTGGGTTTACCAGCTGATCCACAGTCTTAAACAGAAACCTGGGATTGTGTTTATGTGTAGTAATGAGTTCAGAATCCTGTGACAGAATAAATATACAGTATTCTGTCATAGGATGTACTTAGTGTACATTACCTATGTGTTATTCTTTCACAAGGGAGGATTATCTAAAGTTTAAGCCCCTTTCCCTTTATCCTGCTCTTGTATATTTCTGTTTGTGTAGCTTTGGTGAATTTGATGCTCCCAATAAGACCCTCAACAAGAGCGATCACTATCAAGGTCACTGGAAAGAAGGCAAGATGCACGGCCTGGGGACATACAGGTGAGTGTGTATGAAAAAATTATGGTTATGGACTTTATTGTTTATGTTGTGGAAAATAGTTTGGGCTTCACCACATAGGACAATGCCTGACAATAAAGGACAAAGATGAGGACAAACTGCTTTTTAGAGCCGAGCACGACCGTGCGAGTCCTATTGAATTTGCTCGGATTATTAGGGCCCGAGCACGACCGTGCGAGGTCCCTATTGAAATTGCTCGGATTATATTATTTTTTTTTTTTTTTTTTTTTTTTTTTTTTCTGCAAAGTAGGCCAAATGACATGGCCTAAACATACTCGAAAACTCACCAAAATTTGCAAACATGTCAGAACCGGTGAAAATTTCGTATTCTACAGTTTCGCACATGGGCGTGGCAAAATGACTCGCTAGCGCCACCTAGAAAATTGGAAATGATTAGCCCCTCGTTCACGTTCAACCTACATGTACGAAATTTTCTGGGGACATGTATCGTATCAAGACGCACAAAAAAGCCTCAAGAACCCATAGCCTAAAGTCAACAGGAAGTCGGCCATTTTGAATTTTACGCCATTTTTGGATGATTTACACTTCGTACTTTAACGAACTCCTCCTAGGGATTTAGTCGGATCGACGTCAAATTGTGCTGTGCCTTCTAAAGGCATGAAGATGAAAAGTTGTGCTATTTGCGCGTTTTCGTCAATGGGGTGTCCGTGGCGTCGATGATTCGCAATGAACAGGAAGTTGTGTAACTTCAGTGTACATGCTCACATCTGGACCAAACTGTACATGTAGGATGAGAGTCCCGCCTGAAACATGTACATGACATTCACCCACAGTCATAGCGCCACCTGCTGGCAACAGAAAGTGACTTTAACGAAGCAGCCCCCGCCGCACGTGTCACCTACGTGCACGAATTTTCTGTGGTACGTGTATCTTGTCCAGACGCACAAAAAAGTCTCTTGGAGCCATAGCCTAAAACCAACAGGAAGTCGGCCATTTTGAATTTTACGTCAAATTTTGGATGATTTACACACTTCGTACTTTAACGAACTCCTCCTAGGGATTTAGTCCGACCGACCTCAAATTTGTGCTGTGCCTTCTAAAGGCATTGAAGATGAAAAGTTGTGCTATTTGCAAGTTTTCGTCAATGGGCGTGTCCGTGGCGTGGCGTCAAAGATCAGCTCTTCGCCATGACGGAAGTTGTCGTAACTTCAGTGTACATGCTCACATCTGGACCAAAACTGTACATGTAGGATGAGAGTCCCGCCTGAACACATGTACATGCTGACATTCACACAGTCATAGCGCCACCTGCTGGCAACAGGAAGTGACTTTTAACGAAGCAGCCCCCGCCGCACGTTTTCACCTACGTGCACGAATTTTCTGTGGTACGTGTATCTTGTCCAGACGCAAAAAAAGCCTCTTGGAGCCATAGCCTAAATCAACAGGAAGTCGGCCATTTTGAATTTTACGTCAAATTTTGGATGATTTACACACTTCGTACTTTAACGAACTCCTCCTAGGGATTTAGTCCGACCGACTTCAAATTTGTGCTGTGCCTTCTAAAGGCATTGAAGATGAAAAGTGTGCTATTTGCGAGTTTTGTCAATGGGTGTGTCCGTGGCGTGGCGTCAGAGATCAAGTCTTCGCCATGACACAGGAAGTTGTTGTAACTTCAGTGTACATGCTCACATCTGAACCAAATTTTACGTGCTTGATAACTCTCCCACCCCGTTATGGAGGGACCGATCCGACACAGTCAGAATAAATACAAAAAAATAAATGCTCAATAAATAATAAGCATCCAATTAAATACACAAAAAAATAAAGTAAATAAATAAATGTAGGTAGTAATTAAATTATACAAGGAGACATAAATGTATATTTTAATTAGTGCCTTTACTTATTCACCTTTGTTATAATTACCTTATTTGTTTATTCAACTTATTTATTACTAATTTTTTAATGTATTTATTTAGTGTGTGTTTTAATATTTTGTCTGTTTTATTCTTCCTTTGTATTTATTTACCTTATTTATTCACCCATGGTATTTATTTCTGCCTGTCTTTTTAAATTTTTGTATGCATTTCTGCCTCATTATGCAAATGAGGAGGGGCTGTGTCTCAAGGGGTCATCTTCTCTGCTATTGGTGGACCAGTCAGACAGGAGAGCTCCTACTCTGCCTGCAGACATCAACGATCTTGCCCCTCACACAGTCAGAGGCTTCCTTCAGTGCGCTGAGGTGTTTAAAACTCTGAAGACAATACTACCAGCAATGTCTTCCTTCTCTTTTCACGTAGACGCCGACAGACAGTGCTTCAGTTTGCTGCATGCATGGACACAGAACTGGGTATAGGGAGAAGCACACGGTCAGCTGGCTGCAGCTAAATCTGGAGTGCACTCGTATTCAATTCTGTATGGTAAATTCAGTTTTAACGGAGCAGAGCGAGCTGACAGGCAGAGTTAGAGACTTTTCTGTCTGTTTCTCTCTTTACAAAGACGCATGTTGCAGTCAGAGTCTTCTCTGAGATGCGAGCACGACATACAACACAATTTATCAAATACACAACGGATATCAGTATGAAAATAAGATGATTGGATTATACTCACAGGAAGTATAAAACTTACATGGGTCTATTAAAAGTAAAGTAACACAAAAATGTCAGGGAAATTACTTTACTTAGATTTAAGTACTGCAGTGTACATTTGAAATACCTTCCTACCTTTCTGATAGGAAGCCTCTTGAGGTGGTATAAAACATTTCTTTTATATTCTGATTTGAGTTGTGGACAACTATGACCACATGAATTAAAAAAACATTTCACTGCCCAAGTCAGCTATAACACAAGTCTTGTTCATCAGACTACATGCTGTACAGTATTTGTGGACAGATTTGTCCCAGGATTTATTATGCATTTCTTCTTCTTCGTTGCATGATTTAGAATAATAAGGTGAGAAATGGGTCGTCTATTCTGAGTTCATCCTGCACTGCAGCAGCTAAAAAGTCATTTAATCCCCAAAACGCTTTCTTTTAGGCAGGTGGAGCAGAAAAACAAACTCACCTTTCTCAAGTTGTACAGTAATGTCACATGTGTATGAAGGTGGATCAAACAAGCTAATCTTAAATGTCAAAGTAGAGAGGACTAGTAGGCCTATTTATTTTCATTCATTACACAATATGAATAAGCTATGCAGACAGTTGTAAAGAAAGAACATCTTTTTCTTCTGTTCTCTACTGTTTATAGTTACACAGTATTAGGGGTGTGGGCTGTATTAAAGTATCCACTGTTCTCCCATGCTCTAACACACAGTAACGATGAAATGTGTGCTGTTCTCACATTCTTCCTCTGTATGTACACATAAACAACAAGGCAGGGAAATATAAAAGGAATTTATTTTATGTTTGGGTACATTATTGTTCAGTGTACATGTCACATCTGAAACAAACTTTACGTGCTTGATAACTCTCCCACCCCGCAGACATCTACACGCAATACGATTTATATTCATAGCGGCAAGTGATGTAGCTCCACATAGGGGACACAGGAAGTGACATATAGCACCTTCATGCGGCGTAACCGCGTAGGAAATTCACAGCCGCACCGGCGAGCTCCAGAATATGCAACCGGCCGGCTCACACGCGGACGCGCTTACAAGTGCGAGGGCCCGCCAACGCTGCTTGAAGCTCATTATTAGGGCCCGAGCACGACCGTGCGAGGTCCCTATGAATGCTCGGATTATTAGGGCCGAGCAGACCGTTGAGGTCCCTATTGAATTTGCTCGGATTTTTTTTTTTTTTTTTTTTCTGCAAAGTAGGCCCAAATGACATGGCCTAAACATACTCGAAAACTCACCAAAATTTGCAAACATGTCAGAACCGGTGAAAAATTTCGTATTCTACAAGTTTCGCACATGGGCGTGGCAAAATGACTCGCTAGCGCCACCTAGAAAATTGGAAAATTAGCCCCTCGTTCACGTTCAACCTACATGTACGAAATTTCTGGGGACATGTATCGTATCAAGACGCACAAAAAAGCCTCAAGAACCCATAGCCTAAAGTCAACAGGAAGTCGGCCATTTTGAATTTTATGGCCATTTTTGGATGATTTACACACTTCGTACTTTAACGAACTCCTCCTAGGGATTTAGTCGGATCGACGTCAAATTTCTGCTGTGCCTCTAAAGGCATGACGATGAAAAGTTGTGCTATTTGCGCGTTTTCGTCAATGGGCGTGTCCGTGGCGTCGATGATTCGCATGAAACAGGAAGTTGTTGTAACTTCAGTGTACATGCTCACATCTGGACCAAACTGTAATGTAGGATGAGAGTCCCGCCCTGAACACATGTACATGCCGACATTCACCCACAGTCATAGCGCCACCTGCTGGCAACAGAAAGTGACCTTTAACGAAGCAGCCCCGCCGCACGTTCACCTACGTGCACGAATTTTCTGTGGTACGTGTATCTTGTCCAGACGCACAAAAAAGTCTCTTGGAGCCATAGCCTAAACCCAACAGGAAGTCGGCCATTTTGAATTTTACGTCAAATTTTGGATGATTACACACTTCGTACTTTAACGAACTCCTCCTAGGGATTTAGTCCGACCGACCTCAAATTTGTGCTGTGCCTTCTAAAGGCATTGAAGATGAAAAGTTGTGCTATTTGCAAGTTTCGTCAATGGGCGTGTCCGTGGCGTGGCGTCAAAGATCAGCTCTTCGCCATGACACGGAAGTTGTCGTAACTTCAGTGTACATGCTCAATGGACCAAACTGTACATGTAGGATGAGAGTCCCGCCTGAACACATGTACATGCTGACATTCACCACAGTCATAGCGCCACCTGCTGGCAACAGGAAGTGACTTTTAACGAAGCAGCCCCCGCCGCACGTTTTACCTACGTGCACGAATTTTCTGTGGTACGTGTATCTTGTCCAGACGCACAAAAAAGTCTCTTGGAGCGAGCCTAAACCAACAGGAAGTCGGCCATTTTGAATTTACGTCAAATTTTGGATGATTTACACACT